CAGGAATATTAACAGGAGCATCACAGGAGCATCACAGGTCTACAGACCATCCCTTGCTCTCCCACTTGCCAGGGCAGGGCGAGCCACCAAGGGACAGGCAAGACACACCATCATTGTGAGATGAGGGATCAGGAGTAAGAACAGAGCAGGGGCAGAGCAGGGCAAGCCCCCAGTCCCCTGGCACAGAGTTTCTTTCTAGGGCAGGAGCGTAGTGAGTTTCTTCCCAACAGGATCCTCCAGAAAACCTGCCAATAAACACAAGGGGGCTCTGGGGCACCCAGCCAAATGGGGAGTGGGCTGAAGCAGGCTTTGGGAAGAGCCCATCATGGAAGCACTTGAGGTGCATGTGTGTTTCATGAAAGAAAAGCTGGACACCAGGGCACCCTTCCATAGGAACTTGTTGGCAAACAAGAACTCCCTTATTTCATTCCCACTATTCACAGGAAAGCTCATTTTGCCTTTAACAGAAGAAGAGGGGTTTTTTAACTCCAATTGCTAACAGCAGCAGTCCTGGACATTTCATCCTGTGGCTCTTCAGGGGCTAGTTGTCCTAATGCACCAGCCTTACCACCTGTCGCCATTTCACGGGTGTTCAGCCAGGGAGTGCCAAGCACAGGAATGCTGTTTTGGGATGCCCGCAGGCAGGTTTGTTTCAGAGCTGTTCCCCTGCAGGGGTTTGCAGTGGCCATGCCCAGCACATGTCTACTCACACCCCTCTGCTTTGCACCGTGCTCGCTCGCCTGCCCCACGCCACGGGAAAGGGCTGGGAAGGAAAGCAGGTATTTGTGTGGGAGGCCAGGCAGCAGCCCGAAACACTTGCCTGCTGTTATTGTGTGGGTATAGAAAGCGTGTGGGAAATGCAACCAATGAGCATCTCTGTTGTGGGGTTATCTCTTCCTGTTATCTCAAAACTACATTTCGGATACACCGAAGGCAGAAACTGTCGAACAATGTCACCCACACCAAAGGTGGGTCAGGCAGCGGCTCCTCAGTGCTGCTGACACCAGGTGGGCAGGATAAACCTCCCCTCAGTCATTTGCCTGCCCCAGTCTTTGCTTTCTCTTTCCCTCTGCAGGTGTCAACTGGCAGATCACTCTGGTGATGCAGAGGCCAGGGAGGGAGAGCAGGGCCTGCCAGCACTGTGGGCTCTGGGCCGATGGCACTCACCACATGCCCAGAGAGACTCAAAGAAGGGGGAGTTGGCATCAGCTGTGCACTCCCCATGCCAGAAAGCAGCAAAGAGGTGTAGTACCTCTGTCAGAGCCAGGGATCACTCCTGACAGCGCTGGCAAAGGCTGCCAACAGCAAAGCAACCTGAAGCAGGGCTTCTCAGGGTAGGCACAATCACAAGGCATGATCATGATCATGCTTTGAAGCCATGAGGGCACCTTGGAAGTCCCCTCTCCTCCCTTAGGCTGACATGTGCATAGGTGGAGTCCTGAGGTGTCGTTTGAAGAGGAAAAATAAACTGCTCAGAGTGGGTGTTTTGTAGGAAAGGAAAGCTAGAACAGACAGTATTGCTGCAATGGTGCTGCCTGGGGAAGGGTAACAGGAGGTGAGAACAAGGCAGCTGGTCCTCAGATTAAAAAGGGAGGGGGAAGCAGGAGGCCCAGCAAGGCATGCAATGCATGCCCCTGCCCAAAGGGTAAATCCCAGTTCAGATGAGAGCTCTGCATGGAAAGACACATTCCAGGACTGCAAGTCAGTGTCTTTTCCCCATAGCATCATTTCAGCAAACATCCCAAAAAAGACATTTGTACTAGCCACAGTTTCCTTCTTGACCTTTGACTGGTTCAGAGTTTTATTTTAGTTCAGCCTGGACAGGCTAATACCCAAATGACACACAAGCAGATCTTGTCTGCTTTACTAGAAATGCCAAGTTTGGGCAGCAAGTGCTGCTTATACCACTGGGGTGAACTAACACTGGGGTAGAAGATTTTTATCTTCTACAGAACCAACCATTTTTTTGTGTGTGCCTGCTCAGCCTGCCCATCTGGTGAGCACTGCAGAACCACAGCACGACTACAGACCTGCTTTGGGCACGGGGCTGCACTTCCCTCCCATTCCTTCAGCGCTGGCTCTGCAGCACACCACCAAGCAAAACTGCCCCCTGCTAATACCCAGGCAGCATGAACTGCATCTCTCTGAACAGGGAGGATGAGGCAGCACATGGATAAGGACAAGCCCAGCATGTCATTCATCTTATCTCATCCCCCTTAAGAGAATGGGAAAAAACTCGTCACCTCCTATGACTCACTTTGGATGCATCTACGAAAGAAGAACCAAGAAATGCTACAGCAAGCACCACCAGAGCCAAGCACTTCCTGTTATTTCTTAGGTCCCAATGTCAGCTGATTTTCCAGAACTGAAACATCCTCTACAGCATAAAACCTGAGATTTGAATACTCCATGACACGCATTTCAGAAAAATTGCTGACTTATCAAGGATGCACCAAGTGGAATTCACACTGTACAAGTATCACCCACTGCAGCATGTCAGGAACAAATATGAGGCATCACAAAAACAATGGTGGCTATCAAAGAAAAAGGCACCCATCAAAAATAAGTATTGCCCTGGTGAGTTTTCCATTGCACAGGCATATGCTGTGCTCATAGTACTTTCTTGCCTGACAAGGACTGTGTTTTGGTGTAAGTCCACCCAACAGGGCTAAATTCAGCTCTTCTTTGTTTAGCTTTGAGCCTCTTGGCATGTAAGATGGAAACATTCAGCTGAAAAAAAGTCCCATAACCCAGAAGAGCCCTCAATGAGTTGGCTGAGGCTGGTTACAGCAATGGGGTGGAGGGCAGCATTAAGACACACCCCTCCACACTTCACTCATGCCCACTGCTGTGGCCTCTGTCCTGCCCTGTACTCAGGTGCCCACTGGCAGCCCTGCTCCCCAGGGAGGTGAGCCAAGGGCAGCTCTTGGGTGTGCTCAGCCCTCTCATGTCTTAAGCTGAGACAATAGAGGTTTCCACAGTTCATAGGGTTGTCTCAAGCACAGTCTTGAAGGCAGGTTTAGACCCAGTTTGTGACTTACAGTGGAAAAGCTTCTTGCCTCCCATTCCCACCCTGGGCATGACTTAGCTTTGTGCTGCAGTTCCTTGCTGGAAGATGAAGCACAGCTTTGTGCCGGGCCAGAGTCACCCTGACATCACCTCACACACACACGTTGGTGTTCCCCTACAAGGAGCTGTGCCAAGTGTCACCCCACCAGCCCCAGGCAGAGGAGGGCCCCACACTCAGGTGGCAGCCAGTACCTCCCAGGGATGATGTGAAACCTCCTGCAACCACAATTCTGTGGCCCAGGGACCAAAACGGTTTTGTTGCCTCCTTTGTGTCAAAGTAAGATGACAGATACTAAAGTACCAACCAGCACAGGTGTGGACTAAGATCCTCTCCACCCAGTCTTTCTTTATTCATTCACTGCAGGGATATAGAGTATGGTATGTTACAAAATAAACCATGAAATGTTTACCAAGTGCAACTTTAACAAGTGAAAGCCCTAAAACAAGCTGCAGGAAGGCAAGAGCAAGTAACACTCCCAGGGCTGTGTCCAGTGTCAGAGTTCAAGAGAAGTGACTGAGTTCTGGAAGAGGCAGAGACCTCCTTCTCCTGACAAGTTACTTCCCTTCCCTTATACCAGAAGGGTATACCAGTCAGATTTCTGAGCAGAAACAAAGGATGGCTGGTTTATCTCCACTGGAATGTGTAGGATAGTCAAGCCTGGTGTTCTTCTGCCTAACACCAACAAACTAGCTGGATGTCTCATACTCTGTGTCTCTCACAGCTCTCTCCTCCTTCACCTGCGCTGCCTCTTACACCAGATGGGCCAGTGTACCCATTCAACCCTTGCTCTGAAAAAGGCCTGTCCTCTCTTGGCCCCTCAGCTGTAGAGAAGGTTTATGAACATCCCCAAGGACCAGAGGAGTGAGCAGTCTCCAGCCCACAGAGGGTGATGCAGGTACAGCTACCACAGTTCAACCTCTCCCTTTGAGAGGGAGGTCTCTCAGCAGCTCTCTGTCATCACCTTGTTGTATGTGAGGTGTTTCTCAGCAAAATGAAGAAAAACGGTCTCTTCACCCTGAGCAGAAGGACCTGTGACAGAAAGCCATGAGAATTCAGACAATGCCACCAGTGATCAGACTGCTTGGCAGTTCATAATGCTTGTTTCATGAGCCAACAGGTACCAGAACTCTTCTAGGAGAAAAAAAATTGTCTGGATAGCTAAACAGGCATGTTGAGAATAAAGGTTTGTTTTATTTGCCAACAAGTCACAGAAAACTGAGCTGAAACAGTCATTGGAAGGGCATTGTAGCATGTTCTCCTGGCCCTCAGCAGGACGAGGATGCTTCACAGACAGTTGTCTCATCCACCCTTTGAAACCCCCAGTGCTGGAGATCCTCTCCCAGAGGAAACACTATTTCAGTGTTTCATCTAGAAAAAAAATATCCTGACCTAACTCTCCCTTGCTGCAGTTTAAGCCCATGGTTTCTTGTTCTAAACACAGTGGAGAAAGGGAAAAGCTTATTCCTTTCCCACTTGTGCTTTTCCCGCGCAGGTGCTTCAAGGCTCTCGTATGTCCTTTCAGTGTTTTCTTCTCTGCATTAGATGACACTGATTCTTTCAACTTCAGGCAAGCATTTAATTACAGACAACTATTTTTTGGTCCAGGAGGCCATATATTTGTATTTGATGCTGAAGCCAGAGAGCTGTCCTAATGAGTGGCAGGAGGAATATACATGACAAAACCCTGTAAGATCCATGGGTCCATTTTTATCAAGAAGAGCTTTCGCTTCTTCTTGGTATCAATCATCCAAAAGGCACGAAGACAACAAAGTGCGGTAAAAACAAGTGAACCACAGAAAGACACAGGCTTCAAGGCTCAATGCTCCATACCCTAACATGGAGACACATGAAGAAAAATGGCCACAGGGATGAATGCCCATCACCTTGAATCTCCTCCACCGGGTCTCTTCATCTCCATTTGATGCTCTCTCTCTCTCTCTCTAATTTTCTGCAACAAAAGCTGTTGTTTCATAGCTGAGCATTACGCAAGGCTGGGCGGGAGGCGCTCCCGACTTTCGGAAACTTCCTTTCCCCCGGTGAACGGCGGAGCAGAGAGACGACCATCCCTCCTCCCGGGATGCACGTTTAAGGTCTTTCTTTCGGGTGGTTCGGAGTCCGGGGCTGAGTGCGGGGCCGGGGCCGCGGGGGCTGTGGCTGCTGCTGCCCCTGGGGCTGCGGCAGCGGCCGCTGCTGCACCCGCACCTGCTTCGGGGTGGGAGCGTAGGGCGTCGGGGGCAGCTCCCGCATCGCCCTGTCGCACTCCGCCGGCAGGGTCTGCATCATCCGCTGCTCATCTGCAACGACAGAAGGACCCCGCGCTCAGGCACACGCTAAGAAGTCAAACAGCCAGGGAAATGTCCTTGGCCCCAAGCAGGAAAAGGCCGAGTGTCGATCTTAACCTGCCGCTCTCAAAGGTGTTCCCGCTATCCCAGTGAACAAGAAAAATCACCTCTCCCTGCACATCCCGGGACAACGTGGAAGCTTTTTTTTGTCTGCCTGGCTGAGATCAAGGTGCCTGGAGCATTTGGGGCAGCTCTGCCCTGTCTGTTGCGGGAATCAGCTTTGTCAGGGAGACCCCAGTGGTCATCGATAGCCTGAGCTGCTCTGTCCTCTTTTGGAGGCTACTGAAGGGAAAGTGAGATGTAACACCAGGAAGCTACATCAAAGCACTCTGCCCTGCCATTATCCATGCTGGGATTTCCAGATACCTGGAAGCCAGAGATCCCTTTTCCCAGCATCAATTTTCTCACATACAGAAGAAGAAAATTCATGCCAGCTGACTTCTGATCACTGACTCATCATTCTGAAATGTCACTCAGCTTAATTTAGGGATTGAGGGATTTACCTCTTGGGACGCTGAGTTGGCCTTAAGCACACACCAAACTGTTTCAAAGAGGCTGGTCACCCTCTTACATTAGGTCTCATTTTTCTAGATGTGTTTCAAAGAGGCAGGTCACCCTCTTACATTAGTTCTCATTTTCCCAGACTCGTTTTCTTAATTCTTGCTGAATCCAAACCCAGGAATTGAGGATATGGTGTCACTGCACAACTGAAGGAGTAATCTATACCACTCAAATGGGAACAGCTATAATGTAAAATAACACTCAGATGGCTGAGCTCACACCAGCATTGCACTCACAAGGTATAGCAAAACTTCTGAGACAACATCCTGTGCTTTCACTTGCTGTGAGCTCTCTCAGAAAATAGGAAAACACTTGCCTATTCTTCACAGTCACAGCTTTAGGGAAAGCAGGAGAGCCATGGAAAGTTACCTGTGCTCGGGTGTGGTGAGGTTGCTCTCACCTCAGCCATGGCACTGATCATGCTCACCCTTGTTGTCAGCCTGACCATTGGCATCTTTGAGGTACAGCTGAGGTTTCCTTCAGGAATTGCCCTCTTTATCTTGACAAAGGCTGCTGTGGTGTACAGAGCAGCTTCTACGCCCATTTTGTAACTCAAGAACTGACTGACACAGAGACTAGCTTTTTTTTGAGACCACATAGGAAGCCTCACACAGTGTGAGGGAAGAACTCAGAAAAAAGCCTTTAAACAGCCTCTGCCAGGGCAACCTTCCTCCTGCTGTAGCCTCCAGGTAGGCCAGATGACTCTTCCTGAGCAGGAGCCCAGTGTCCTCTGCCCGCCCAAACCAGCAGTAATGCCCAGGCTGTGTGTAATTCAAAGCAACCTCTCTGTCAAGTCTGAGAACCCACTCTCAGAGAGGACTCTGGCAGAGTATTTCCTGTGGTCTGAAAGAGGCATGAATTTTGGACAACACATGAGATCTCTGCACACTCTGAAAACTTCAACACTTTAAAAGTGCCCCAAGTTGGACCTCCAGTGTTGACAGGCCTCCAAGGACATTGTTTGCAGAGGGGACAAAGTGCTGTGAGATGCCTGAGGAAACACATAGAAAAGCTGAGCCCTTCTTGCCCCTGCTCACTATCTAGACTATTTCTGCATGTTACTAATGTTGTTAAGGATCTGAATTTTATACCACATAAATTTAATGAAAAAAAATCTGCTGACAGACTATCTAAGTGTATATTTTAGCCCCATGGATGCTCCTGACTGGTGACCTTGGCCAAGTTTTAGAGGAGCAATTCTTCCCCCACAAATAAACAAAAGGGCTTGAGAACAAGAAGTCCTTTGTTCAAGGCATTTATCAGAAAGTGAGACTGGCAATGCCAGCTGATCTGCTCAGATTCACCATGTGCTAAAATCAGGTTATTGCTCATGACAAGGCAGAGAGCACACTCCTGGCCACAGGAAAGTTCAGCGGGAAGCTCTAAGATTTTAGGTGTCTGGGTAGTAACATAAAGCCCCTTAAACACTTACCATCACCTTCACGCCTTTTTGCTTTCCTCCTCCTGATACAATAAATAAGCCAAATCACAAAGATGACAAAAACGAGTGCACCGCCCGCTATGCTTAAGATGAGATAAAGGTCCAGCTTGCCTAGTTAAGAGGATGAAAGAGGATGTTAGATAGAAGGAAATAACTTGCACAACATCTACTTAGAATTCTGTATTTTCTTCCATTGACTGTAAAGGCAGAGCATGCCTTTTCTGGAGAATTTTGATTGCTCCATAATGGATTCCAGTTCTGCAGAAAATTGAAACCAGAGCATTCATGTGTGCCAGCTCATCTTATTTAAATTACCACAAATGCCTGGTTCTTGCTAGCAATGGACCCATTTACGGACAATGAGCATCCAGGCAGTACTCAACATCTAACAAAAATAAACTTCTTAAGTACTTTCTACTGAGCTGGAAACAGTGAGACTAGCTTGCTTTCACAGTATTTTGGTACTTCCTCTTCAATTTTTGGCTGTACACAAATTAAAAAAAAAAAAAAAAAACAGTAAAAAGGAAAAGAACATAACCAAATACATCACAGTCTCAAAACGAGAGTTTGGTTTGCCTGTATGCAAAAATTTGTATGAGTCTTCCTGTTCCTTCACCACAGAAGGTTTGCTGGATGCTGGCCTTCCTTCACCACCTCCTGCTCAGGCTGTCCTCCTGGCATTCAGTGATAACACTGGAGCACGGGTGCCATGGAGCTGAACCCAGCAGATATGCACCTTCCTTGGCTTATTAGGGCACAAAGCTCCAAAGGGGGCACCACCACTGGTACCACCCTTATCATTCAGTGGGTGTGCACGTGGAGAGCAAAGAGCAAGGACACAAATCTGAGATGTCTGCACTATAAAGATCACCGTCAGCCTGGGCTGCCCCAGTGGAGAAAAAAAAAAGATGAGTACCCTCAGGGATGTGGTTATTCTCACCTGTTTTAGCTGCAAAAGACACCGAGGTGTATTTTGCCCTTTCTGTGCCTGTTTCTCCCAGCTGACTGTAAGAGGAGCCCAGGCAGATTCACATATTTTCATACACTTTTCATACACTTTTCATACACTTGTATGAAAAGTTAGCTGAGCTGAAACCCACCTGAAGCATGCCTTGCTTGCTGGAAGTCAAAATTCAGGGTGATTGGCTTTAATTGCAGGGCCAAGTGTTCAAAGAGGATAGCAGGGTTGGAAAGAGGTTCAACTGCAAGGTGAGGGATTTTTAATCCACTATGGATCTGGCAGACTCTTGCCACCACACAGAAAGGTTTGAGGGGTTTTTAGTTTGAGGAGGGAGGGTAGTGCTAACTGGGTTTAGAGGTTTTTTGGTGTCTGAGAAATGCCATATTTGTACCTTAAAGATCAGTGTGGCAAACCTTTCATTTCCCTGTTAATAATGTGAGAAAAAACCAAACTCTCCCACCCAACTCACCTTGTGAAAGAAGAGCATTTCAAGGGTGAGAAGGAGTGAAATCTATGTTATCTAGCTGATGGCTAATGTCTGCCTATACCAGCAGTACAGGTGGGCCTGTTCTTGCCTGGCTTGTTCCCTGGCATAGCCAGCTTCTGCCAGCATTTCCTCATTCAGACAAGGTGTTTGGGATAGTTTGCCCTGCTGTAAACAGCCCTAATCCAGCAGCACACACTCATACCTCTCGTCCCTTCCCAATGCTAGCACTGTGCAGTCCATCAGGTCAGGCAGCTCATGCAGCAGCAAAAAACCCACCTTGTTCAGCTATATTAGACATCAGGAGGGTTCCTCAGGAGGCAAGGGCATCACCGGGGAGCAGAGACCACCCTGTCCCTCAGCTCTGTGCCCTTCAGTCAGCCTCAGCAGTAAAACCTATATACCTTAGGGCTTGTTCCCTCCCTCCTCACACCATGGGCTGACAGATTTGGACTTTCCCTAGATTCACTGTGGCAGAAATAGATGGATATTGGAGATACTGAGCCAGCTCTCTCAAGCCTGCCCCCCACACCCCTCCACTAGCTCCAGCAGGAACCTGGAGCCAGGGAATGCTTCAAGCAAAGCCCTTGAGATTGAGTGGGATGAACCCAAGCCCAGCAAATTCAAGGACTTTTCCCCAGTTATGCACTGGAATTCCGAACTTTGAATGGAACACCACATCCAGTGTCATACCAGTATAATCTGTCCTTTGTTTCTGCCTTAACTTTCAGAACTTTTACTTGGGGCAGGAGATGAATCACACAATGACTTCTTTTGCGTATTTAATAATTTTTCAGCGTGACCCTGACCATTTAAAATGCAATCCCTTCAGTTCTTTTGCTGCACCTGTGATTTAGAAAGATGATACTTCAACTGAGTAAGAAAAACCATAGAAAGATCACACTTCACCTGAGTGAGAGAAACCATGGTACACTTGAGCCATCCTCACCTGAGCCATGCAACCCCAAAGCTTAGCTACATTCTCCATAACTTCTCTCCTGATTTCTAGGCCAAGCTGGAGAGTTCAAGCAGCTTATTTTTCCCCTTGTGAGAGCACCCTTCCACATCCACATGTGGCAGGCAACCACCACCTTCATAGATATGATTACGGTGAGGAGAAAACACACAGGTGATTTCTCCATTATGAGGATGTAAATCAAGAGCAAATCCTCTGAAATCAGTGTTGTGGTTCCATATACACACGAGAAGATCCCAGGCCATATTTTCCAAAAATAAACTGTTAATTTATGTTGTGGTAGTTTGTGTAGTTTTATACTATATTACTGAAGACAACTCTTTGGCTCTGGACCACTTGACTGAAGTCAACCTTTGGGAAGCACCATTAGTTTTAAAGGAATAAAGGAGGATAAAAATTAAGAGGAAAGTGCTTTCTGCCTTTTGCAGACTGCTGTATGTCATTAACACACTTTCAGGCCCACTTCCCTGCTTTCTTCTTTACTTCATCAGTCTACCACTAGTGGTGGTCGACACCACTCAAGTCTATCAGGAAGCTGACACCAAAAAGTCTATTAGGGTACTTCTGGCAGCTTTTGGCAGAAGAGTCAGCAGTGATGGAGGGGAGGGAGAAAATGATGGGATAACCAAGGATCTCTCTCTGATTCGTTCACCCTGAGACAGCCTGATCTGTCTGGGAGGCTGAAGTTTCCCTCAGAAGACTTCACCTCGAGTGGGAGCAGCACTGCAGTGCGTCCTGGAGACCTCATTACCACCCACAAGGCTCTTGATTCCAGAAAAACCTGTCCCACTCTTCCTGCAACCCCCAGACCTCACTCACATCCCGGCTACCACAGCAGCATCAGCTCCCAGTAACTGTGCCAACATTAGGCTCCCAGTACCGAGTACCCAGGACCATCAGTGCTCCTGGCACCTGGACCAGTCCTATGTGTATGTGCAACTGCATCAGGCTGTGGGGGTCCTCCCTAGCAGATTCTGACAAAAGAAAGCTCTTACCTGAGCACTTAATTGCTTTTTCAACCATTTTTTCACTGACTTGGTTCTTAACAGCACATCTGAATGTCCCAGAATGCCGTGTCTGCAATTCCAACATGGCTGCATTCTTTTGGATTTTTCTGCCATTAGGTTGAGTCAGTTCTATAGTAAATTCTTCACCTTTAGCCTTGTGGTCCACTTCACACTTGACAGATACAGTTTTATTCATGCATTCAGTGCTGAGGATTGGCTGAGGGACAGGCTCTGAAAAAGAAGAGAAGGGACAGGCACATCTGAGATGGTTTCTCCTTTTGAAAACCTCCATTATTAAGCAGAACAGAGAATTAACCCCAAATAACCAGATAATGAGAATGAACCTGCTAACAGAAGAATGAAGAGCAAATTAGGCCTCTACTGCAGAAGTAGTATGACCATAATAAAGAAAGTGCAGTGCAGTAGCCTACATATTTGGCCCAGCAAAGCAGAGCTGCACCACTGTGGCTGGGCTGCTTTCAGTCTCAGCCTGGCTCACAGCCAGCCAGGCAGGTGAAGGGAGGAAGCTGGGATTCCAGGGAGGCAGTGGATGGCAGGTGCTCAGAGCCACAGACCCCTCCAACTCCAGCCCCCGTGTCTTGGTGAAAATGAAGTTGGCCCTGCTCTGCCTGTGCCCATCGGGAGAGATTCTCTCTAAAGCAGGAAAAACAACTGCTTATGATGCTCTGTGTACTACCAACAGCACTCAGCCAGCTCAACAGCCACAGCATGAAAGCCCATCAGACCAGAATGGAAAACACAAAACAGACACCTCAGCTCTCAGTGAGGTTGTGACAGAGAAAACTGATTTCTGTCTTTTCTTACGCCCTGCAAACAACCAGTTACATTTTGGTTCCAGTTTCTCTATCACTGGTGGCATTGAAAGAGCCAGAAAAGCCTGTGGGGTTTTTCTCGACTAGGGGCAACTGGTAGGGACAGCAAATGGAAAAAAAAATATTTCACAGAATATTCTGAGTCGGAAGGGACCCACAAGGATCATCAAGTCCAGCTCATAAGTTAATTGCCCCTACAGGGATCACACCCACAACCTTGGCATTGTTAGCACTGTGCTCTCATCAACTGAGCTAATCTCAGAGTCCACCTGTTAGACCAAGTAAATAAAAACCTGCCAGGGACACCTTTAGTTACAGGCAGTGTAAGTTATGGAGATCATAAATTTTAAAGCCAGTGAGGGCTGTTCATGGCACATGCAGTTTGGGTTCACACATGACATCTGCAGCCACACTTTCCCTGTTAAGTCCACTCCTCTTCTGCAAACTGTAACCAGTTATTCAGGGGAACTTCCCAGCGTGAAACACTACAGTCCAGGTGCTGGTGATGGAGTTGTGTTAGGATATCATTGAAACTGTGTTTTGAGTTTTTTTAACAACTGTTTGCCCAGCCCTAGTAACAAGGGGGTAACCTCACTGACAAATTACTCCAGCGCCCAAGAGTTACTACAGGACTTTACTTCCAAAAATGTGTGTCAGAGGTAAGGCAACCTCTCTGCACAGCACTGCTGCATAGTAGAGGAAATGATGCAGCACACAGCTGGGTTAGAACATTAACCTTGACCTGAAACAAGGACACCCCAATGACAGTTCAGTGGCTTAAAACATGAGCAAACAGCATCAGGCCCTGATGACTTTCTGAATCTGTTTGCAATAGTAGTTCTCAAAGTAATGAGACACCCTCACTACTCAGCAGCCCCTTAGACACAGGGCTTCCCATTGCACAGAAATCCTGCTAAAACCATTCCAGCTGTCGTTGCTGCCTCATCAGGGCATCATTTCTGTAGTGCCAGCTGGTGCCCAGGAACTTGAGAGGTTGGCAAAGGTGCGTATGCTGGCTGAAGAAGGACAGAGCAAAACTATCTTCTTTTGGGGGAAAAAATACATGCTGTCCTACAGCTTAGAGGCCTGGAGAGGTGGCAGCAACCATAAAGGAGCAGAATAACCATCCCCCATCTTCCCTGCTCATCTGAAAAACTTTGGGCTGCTACTGCTCTGATCCTTAAGGACAAGGTTCAGCAAAGGCTGCCTTCGTGCTTTGAGCCTATGCAGCTGAAATCCCCAGGTGTGTGCTTAACTGTGCTTTGAACAGCATCCTGCTTCCAGAAATCTCTTGTGGGAACCCAGCAGCCTACATGAGGTTTCTGGAAGCAGGATGCTGCCGGGAGCCCAGCCCCCCTTGCAGGGTGCTGCCCCAGCCCAGGGTCCCAGCACCACTGGTGGTGCTGCAGGAGGGCCAACCACACCCACTCTGCTCTCAACACAACTCTGCTCACAGCTGCTTTCTTGGGCACGTGCAGAAATCTGGTGGCTGACAAGCAGGGGAGCCAGAAAGAAGGCAGGGGTCTCAGGCCATCTATAAGAGCAGGAGAAGGGAGAAGAGAGGCAGACATCTGTCAGTGGCGGGAGGAAGAAGGTATGTCTTACAGAAGTCCCCCTGCCCCCATATCAGAAAGGAGGGCAATGAGTAGGAAAGGCTGCAGGAGAGAAAAAAAAAAGGACCAAATCTTATTCAGCTATGCTGGGAATGGTATGGGAAGAGCAAAAACTCACCCTGAACAAAGAAGCTTGTCTTTTCTTCTGCCTTCCATTTTCCATCCCGCTCATAAACAGTCACTGTGTAATTTCCACTGTCCCCTTTCACCACCTGACGTATTTGCAGAGTCCCATTTTGGAGTATCTTACACCTGCACTGGTCCTTGTTCACAAAGTACTTAACATCATTATCTTTGAGCTGAACCAGCCTCTGTCCATCTCTCTTCCATATGGCATGGTATATGCTCCCAGGAGCAGAGATGCTGAGAAGAACCGTCTCATTCACTGCCTTGTAAAGCCGGTTGACGACAGAGCCTGTTAAGGGAAGCACAACCAGCCCATCAGTGGTCTCCAGCAGCCCTCACTGCCATGCTCAGCAGCCACAGCAGTCACCCAAAAGGTTGTCATTTGCTCCTCCTCAGGTTGCCTGAGCGTCTCTGCATTACCATTGCCATCTTCTTCCCCTGCTCCAAAGCAGCTCTTGGTTGTTTGCTAGATAAATGTCAGCATCCAGTTTAATTCTGAGAGGCAAGAAAGCTAGGAGTCCAGCTTTCAAAAGCTGACTTTTTATACCCTGGCTGACTTACTTGGAGTGACTCTGGATGCCAAGATTCATGGCTGCCTATGTATTTAACCCTGAACTTAACCCTTCCTGAAAATAAGGTCGCTTTGGTGTGTTTTGCACATGGCACACGCTGGTACCCAGAGCACCCACCACTGCAAACGTTACTGCAGGCAGCAAGAACACAGACCAGCAGTGTCCCTGAATGTAGGATCTGTTCAGCAACAACAGTGATAACAATAATTATAACAACAGTGGCCTGTGTCAAGCAGTGAGTGAGTGTAAGGCACTGAACGGAAGGCAGACCCACTGCAGTGCCCCCTCCTCAACCATCCCAGGCACCCTGCCCCACTGGAATGTATCCACTTGATTTTCCTAGCACTCGACCCTAGTGGGGCAAGTAAGGCAGACAGAAACAAGCAGTCACTCACATCCTGTGAACTGACAGGGTGCTGGAAACATTACAAGATAAGCAAAGGCGAAAAAAACCCTTTTCTCTTTGCAGGTCTCCTTTGTTGACAGCTGCCTTCTCCAGAGCAGTTCAGAGTAGGAGCTTCCCAAAGGACTGGGAAGCACTTGAGCATGGGGCTGCCAAAGGGGATATTCAGGAAAGCCAAGGATGCTAAAAGTCTACACCAGAGGGGACAACAGGCCCTTCGGGCCATGCCCAGGCGTCCTGCCCGCTCCCCTCCAGGCTGCTTCACACACGGCCCTTGCAGGACCCACCCCACACTTTCAGAGTGCAAAATTTGTTGGGAGGTCATTTCAAGTACTGTCCCCACCCCCGAGGCAGGTGGAAAATCTGCAGGAGGAGGTAGAAACCTGCGTGCAAGTGTCAGGTGGGATAAGCTCACCGGCAACCGACCGTGCGCTCAGGGCCACGGATTATTTCATTTCTCATTTTCTGATGCTCATTCCTCCTCAATTTACGGGATAAAGCCAATCAGCAGGAAGAGCTGATTCTGCTCTAATTTTATATACTTTAAGCACGTTTTCCCCACAGAGAGAAAAACTATGCTTTTGCGTATTTTTTATTACAGTGCTTTATTCCTGGTATCTAGGATAATGACAAACTGCCCCACAGAGGGGAAACTGAAATCCAGCGGCTATTTCATTAAACTAACAATATTAGATATAATCAAAGAACTAAAATGCTGTGCCTCTGCAACAAGAACATTAATGCTGTAGTGCTTCTGGGCACATTCACCTAAATTCAGTCTAAAGAGAGGCTGTTCTTTCAGCATTGCCTTTCTTACAAAGTATTTGACATATCTAATGAAATATCCTGAAATCAAGCTATCAACTAAACAACCTTGGAAACAGCTATGACCCACATAGGCGACACTACAGATTATACCCAAATATTTGAATTCTGACATTTGTTTCTGCTCAGTCATGAACAACTATTTAGAGCTAGTAACAGGATTTCTTTGCACAACAGAAACTACTTACATTTTCTCTCTGAAAGTAAAGGAAAAAAGTAATCTGGGTTTGCAAAGATAATTCAATGGCACCTCTGTGAACAGACCAATGAGACACAACTATCTGATCCGTACAGTTTTGCTAGTGGAAAGCTGAGTATCCCACACATATACTAAAAATCTGTTTAGCTAATTAAATATTTCTGTTAAAAAAATGTCAACTGAAATGTACTCCAAGGGGCAGAAAGATCTGAACTGAGAGCCCAGAGCTCACTCACGATCACAAGAAAGAGTTAGAAGTTCCCATAGTAGCTTTAGAGAAGGAAGTAAGTCTTTGAAACAAGTTTTCCACTCAAGGGAATAGTCATCATTTCTGCTGAGGAACGTTTCATAGATCATGTACATTAAAAAAAAAAAATCCTTATTTATCTATTAATTTTGTTCTGAAGGAAAAGCAAAGCATTAAAGAGCCATACATACAATCTGCATTGGAATGAAACAGAAAAAAAAAGTTATGCATGCTTGTGTTGTCTCCATCTCTTATAACCTTCTCTAATCTATGAGTTAACACCCTAATTAAGTTTTTAGATTAATATTTTAAAAAATAATGAGAACAATAATGTGCAAAATATATAAAAGATGCATTTATTTGCTTGCCGTTTTCACGTTTTAGACCTCAACTCCACTGAAGACACTGAAATACATCACTCTGTTAATATTTATGGAAGAATATAAATTACGCTTTCAAAAGATTTGTGCATCTTCGATAAGAAAAGGAAATTACATGCGATAATGCACAGTGAACAGAGGATCTCTAATGTAGTACAAGCTACCTTGAGGGTAGAAAGAAAACTGCATGCTGACATTTCTCATTATACATGTGTCAAATTAAGGCTCATTAACTTAAAACCAAAACTCTTTACAGCTTATTATTATAACTGGAATATGAAACTCAGGTCCTGCCCTCCCCCCGGCTGAAAATTAAATCAAATAATAATAGCAATAACTCAGATGTCTTCACTCACTGGAAAAGTGGAACTAGTGTCTTATCAGTAACAGCCCACCAAGTTGTAAATGGCTTAAAATGCAATTTTAACGTTAGCCCAAAAGAGAAAAAAAGGGTAAGAAAAACTCACATTTTACACTGGAAAATAAAAGCAGCAAGCACTTGACTAGGAAAATCCTCCCAAAGTTCATTTTCAGGGTCAAAAAAAAAAAAAATCCACTGTCTCCTTGTCTAATGACAGCTCCTGGCAGGTGAAAGGATTGTCTGCTGTGAGCAGTCATGGGACGTGTCAGTACAGCCCTTGTGCCCTCCTCCCCTCCTCCAGCTCTCACCCCGGCACTTCTTGTTTCTAGCACAGACACACATACACACAAAAAAAAAAAAAAAAGGGGGGGGCAAAAATACCTCTCAAAGGAGGGCTTTGTCAGGATGGGGACAATGTGTAGCAACAAAGAAAAATGTACATTCAAGGCAGGAACACCCCTGAGGTTTGCCCACCCAGCTGGAGGGTCAGCTGAGCCCTTGTCCTCTTCAGCGCTCACCCAAAGAGTTCAGCTCCAGCATCCACGTGCCACCATCCTCAAGAGATGGATGCAGTTTTTGGGTGGGGTAACGATGGAAATCCTTCTTCTCCCCTGTAGTCTTAGCAGCAAGGGGACAGCAAGCCCAGGACCCCCCGTGAGGACCAGGTGCCTGCTGGCTGTTGGACAACGTTTGCAAAGGAGACACACTTCTCTTGGAAACCATCAGGAATCAGCTTCACATCAACACCTGATCCATGAGGGGCTTGCCAGTGCCACAAAGGCATCCTGCAGTCGGGGCCAGCATCTGGGCAAGCTGTGAGAGACGGATGAGCATGGAAGGGGATGAGAACACAGCCTTGGATGTAGCCATGAACCATCCCTGAAGCTGGCTGGTGTGGGAAGGAGCACGAGGAAAGAAGCTGTGAGGAGGTGGGGGAGCTAGGTGCAAAAACATGAGAAGATAATAAAATCTTTATTCCTGATTCCAATATGAAACAGATGGAGTGGTGAGGATTTTGAATCTTACCCTCCTCAGCACAATTCCTCCGGCTACAGTGGCCACTGAAATCTTCCAGCTTTTTATCACAGGTGTAGACCAAGAAAGAAGACAGTAGAACAGCTGTGGCACTGGAGATGTACAATATTTGATAAATCTTTCTTGTTCATTCATGCCATTCTTCTTCCTTGAAGTTAAAGGAAGGTCTTGTGAGACATCTCCTCTTCTTCAGCTTCATCATTTTTTAACCACTACTATTGAGGTAAAAAACACTTCTTTTTGCAAAAAAGGAGAAAAATTTATCTAAGATAAAGTGCACTAAAGTCACAGTATTGCTGCCTCTAAACCAAGCTTTTCTTCCTTCTTTCTGTTATTATTTCCTCACAAAGAACGCAGAACAGAGGTACACACAAAAGGAGAGAGGAAACAACAGGAATGAGATGACATTTCTGTGCCTGACCTCCATCCTCTGTGGCAAGTTGAGAGCAGCCAAGAAGGTTGTGTTGATCTGTTGGACACATCTGCTTCCAGCCCAAGTGCCTAAATGACTTTGGGCAAAAGGCAGCAACACCAATCTCTCCTGCCTTTTTTTTGTTTTCTTCTTTTTTTTTTTTTTTTTTTGCTGTGTCCATCAAGCAGAGTGGAGGGAGGCCCCCAGCATGCTGAAACCACTGCCACACTTTGCTCAGCTCCTTTCTTCCTCAGGGAAACATCCTTCAAAGCCACTACTGGCTTCCAGTGTCCCCCCTGCATGTTGTCAGTTTGTCACACGCTCGTACTGTGAACACGCTGGGGCAGGGTCTGTCCTTCTGTTCTGAGCACACACAGCCTGCTCAGTGCCATCCTGCTCACAACAAGCTGCCTGCTGTGGAGATGCAGGCAGAAACTGGGACTGGTACAAATGAAACACAAATGGAAAGATATGTGTGTGCGTGAAGAGAAAAGTGAGGTAAAGCTCCATGGCAGTAGGACAAGGTGTAAAAGGATTCCCTGTATTAAAAATGAAGGCCATGACTTCCAGTGAGTCAGTTTTTCAGGCCCACTCATGCTCTTGCAAAATGACAGCTGAAATGAGTCAGACTGAAAGCCCCTGTGCTCCAGCAGACCAGTTACAGCACACCAAACATCCTTGTTTCTATTACAGCAACAGGTAGACTGGAGCGAGAAACCTGAAGGGTCTGTTCAAAAATGAGCTTACTGTGAGCAATGAAGAGGCACTTGATGTCCCCCGTTCACTGTACACCACAGAAATGACACCAGGCCTTGATATTTCTGAGGACTTGGGTGCATATGCACAGAATCAACCTGCTTAGAGATTTTGTGTGACAAAAGCACAGCAGGACCTGCACAAGGGCACACCTCTCATCTGCAGCAAGGATTCCCTGGGAGATCCTGGTGTGTGCATGGTCCATCCCGCCAAGCATCAGAAACCTCCTGCACCATCAGACCCAGCTGGACAAGGAGAAAGCAGCCCATGTCTCTAACCTCAGTCTTCCTGCCAGATGAGAAGTGGGGAAATGGCAATATCCTGCCAGCTTTACCCTCCCTCCTTGAGGAGCAAGACAGTGCCATGCTGCAGTCCTGACTGGGCTTTAATTCCAATTTTAGAAGAAGGAAGGGATTTTCTGGACGTTACTGGGAAGGAAACACTGTAAGTCCATGCACTGATGTCTCTGTTTCCCCCCAAGGGAAGGCATTAAGAAGGTGTCTGAAGGTATCTCTGGAAAGCACAGCAGCTTTGGGCTACTGCCACAAAGGAGCTCTGGAAGCCAGTGTGGACTTTCAGTGACGTGGCACAGGATGCACATCCTGAAAAGACATCTACAGCAGAGACCACTGGCAGAGCAGCCTCCCACAGAAGCCAGTGATCCCCCCCAAGGCAGAGGGACAGGCATGGAGAGAGCTGTGGCCTGAATCTGTGTGTGGCCACAGCCCAGACACTGCCCCAGGCTGTGCTGGGCAAACGAGGCGAGGTCTGCCAGGCCTGTAGATAACTGTGCTCTCACACTCTTCTGCTCGCTGCAGACGCCCTCTCTCCCACCCCTCACACAGGAAGTAACACCACTGGGCTAAACAAGTGCCAGCTGCAAAACCAGGGCACTGATACAAAAGTAGATGTCTCCCAGTGCACTGGTACTGGACCTGCCTTCAGTTAGACCTGTCAGCTCAGGATGCTTGACCCCTGTTTACCCCACTGTTTTGCTAGAGACCTCCACCTTCTGACACACAGGAGAGCAGAGGGCCAAGCACAGCCTTGACAGTGGGCTGGTACTTTGCAGGCACTGTGAGCTCTGTGGTATTGTTTCCACTGCAAAAGCCACAAAGCATTGTAGTCATATACAGTTGCTTCTGTGGCTTGCTCTCTCTCTTTTACTCTTCTGTTCTTTGTAATACACTACACAGTTTCCTCACAGGGAATGTAAGTTATCATACTTACATTTCCACGTAAAAGTGACAGACTCCCACACATCTGAAGGCAACATCTCAAGAGACAACATGCAGTTGTTCCCAACTCTTAAGTCTTCAACTTAGTGATGCGCCAATAAACATTCATGCCTGAGGCTTATTTAAAAAAAAAAAAAAGAGAGAAAGAAAAACAGATTGTTATTTGATCTACTAGAAAAGGAAGACTACAAATACACTTAGCATGTTCTGAGAGTTTGCAGCATCTCCTCTGGTATGAAGCTTAGGTCGTAATAAATGGCATTTGCACAGGAGTTAGACACCTTGCACTCACCATGACCACCCAGGACCTTCACCATGAAAAGTGACAGGAATGTTGTAAATTCATACTCCTAAATTTCTCACAAGGACAGGCCTTTGGTGAGGCACAGTGTGTGATGAGAAGAGCAAGTGTGATCCTCATTGGAATGCCGGACAGGACATATATAGAGGGGAAGCTTTGGGTTAGGGTAACCTTACTCTTGGGAGCTCTCCTGGCTTTGCACCCCAGCCTGCAAGACTAACAGCTGAGCCCTGACTGGGTTGCCCTGGTTGATAGCTGAGGGTTTCACAATGGTACATTCCCCTTTACTGTAGCTTTTTGCAGGACAGGGGGAATTGCAGGCAGTGGCTGGAATGGGGAAGAAGTAAAGTCAGTCCTGGCAAGGGGAGTTGCCCCTGCACTATGACATGCCAAGGAACTGCTGGCTTCCACAGACAGTTTCAGCCATTTGGCCGATGAAGGACACATACTCCCTCCTCTTCACTTCTGCCTTATGCAGGGCCAAGAAAGGAAAAACTCCAGCTTGAATGAAGTGGTGCAAATATGAATATCATGAACTCAAAATAGAGCTCTGGCCAAGGTTTTGGCAGGGATGCTGACTCAGAGCCTGTTATGTGGAAACTGATAGCACTGATTTGCCTGTGTGCAATGGAAATATCCCCAAAATAGTGACACGCAATACCAACATTGAAACAGTTGCCTGCACAAACGGTTTTATCCTTCTCTAGAGAAATGTAAATGGAAGCTTTCAAACCACAAGTCATGCAGAATAGTCCTCAGTTGGTTATTTGAAGAGAAATGGCTCCCTTGTGTTGTCCATAATCCCACGTAGAATCATAGAATATCCTGCGTTGGAAGGGACCCACAAGGAACATTGAGTGCAACTCCTGGACCTGCACAGAACCACCCCAAGAATCACACCGTGTGCCTGAGACCATTGCCCAAACACTTCTAGAACTCTGACAGGCTCAATGCCATGGCCACTTCCCCAGAAAGCCTGTTCCAACACCCAACCCCCCTCTGGGAGGGCTTTTTTTCCAAATATATCACCTAAACCTTCCCTTATACAGCCTCATGCCGTTAAAGCATTAGCCCCAGGTGTTCTCTCTCAGAGTCATTTTCTTTTTTTCCACCTGTAAGCATGTGTCAACAGCCAAACCTCACAAAAGATACCCACTTTAATTCTGGTCTGAAGGAATGTAACCCCCACAGACGAACAGTCTGGCAATCTGTGGCTCACAACAACGACTGAGGCTAGAGCAGATGTCAGCATCCCATCAGTTGTTCCTGCAGATGGTGCCTTTCAGTCTTGCTGATGATTTCCATCATCTATAATGATCCTAGATTTAGGATCTAACTTTCAGCACCTTGTTCCAGTAATTTCAGTGACATAACTACTGCTGCAAAGCAGTCCAAGCACGTTTTCTGGCATGATGCAATCAATCTGTTTTATACAAGAAGCCAGATAAATGAACAGAAAAGCCTCTTCCAGTCTTAGCA